TCACCTCAATCTTTTTCAGTATTCGTTACAAGACCTAATACCTGGGGTAACAGAGCATTATTCGATATTTATTAGAAAAAATTAAGATGTGATATGTGGAAAGTGAAACCGTTTCTGTTAGAGTAACACTCTTGCTAAGGGAAGCGGACTGATCACGAAAAATTTCTGTTCTCAGTTAAAAGTTGGAGCTTTAGCAAGTGGGCCACGACCGTGCGCAGGGTCCATGGAGCAGCTACCTGAAGTTGAAGCCCGTTATGTCTTTGGTGTCAACAAGTTGTTATCTGATACTAGGGAGTGAGAATGAGACCAGAAATTTCATATCTGCCTACCTAGATGACACATCATTCTATCGGCGGGTGAACGCCCTACTGCCACTTCCAAGCGCTCGCCAACACGAACTTCAGTACGAGCCGGTCGTACCAATCCTGTTCGTGATAAAGACTAATTCAAGGCCAACCAAGCCTGCCATTTCTTGAGGGTCTGGATGATAGTTGAACTTGTCTGACAGGATAAAAGACTAACTTCTATCGTGCTGGCTACCCAACCTTTGTGTAGACCGCATACGCATTCAAAATGCCACTGCGGTTTGACGTGGGTGTGAGATGCGGGGTGGCTCGCAGAAACGGGATTGATCAAGGCCAAAACACTTTGCCCTCTTTGAAAATTCATGCTTGCAATTCAAAAATGCCTAGCTATTCCATGCAGAAACTTAGGTGTGCAGTGATAGCTTTCTTATCAGCATAAATGATATACATACATAGTTTGTTCACTAGAAGTTCGTATAGGATTATGAACTACGAATGCCGAGGGCTTATCTCTGAAATTTCGAGAGGCAGAAAACAAATTTGAGTGCTCCACATAGAATGGTGGTCACTTGACTCGAGTATGATAGAGCGTTCAGTAGTTTTTGCTCCACGACAGCGCTTGATTATGTGCCCCACTTTCATCCTATCATTTTCTCGGCCAGCGCGACCTTTGTTTCTTGGACTGCAGTTCAAAACCGTGGCAGACACTTTTTACCCTATGGAAGAAGTGTAAAAGAAATCGAAAGATCCAATTTGAAAAAAGGTTGGTGGAAATGACTGCGTTCAGATTACGGTCTTTCAGCCTATTTGGAAACAATTATCAAAAAAGTCCTGCTTCTTTTTTTCAGTTAGATTAGGGGAAATGGTTCAAAGTAAAACGAAAGTTACCACTAAAACATCGGAAACCGTTACGACCAAAGAAGATGTAATTGTTCGGAAGGTTTTTTGTTAACCGTCACAAAAACAACAACAAGTCCACTCAAATTAAACTCTGGTTGCTGAACCTTTTTTAGCATTTTGGTCAGTTCTTTCCCAATGTAACCCTGGTTGTAGCTAAATGAGCTGCTACACTTCTTGTAGGGAACTCTACTACAGGTTAGAGTGGGAAAAAGACAAGTTGCATTGCCCATGACTGACACGAATAGCAAAAACCCTATCGAATATGGCTCACGACAACCAAAGCAGGCTTGTCCGGGATTACTAAAAGACCGGGTTCTGTGTTGTCTGGTTCCATAGATGACAATTAAGATTGAGCAGAATGTTTTGTACGAATGTTTGTAAGGCTCAAAATGGAAGTCGTGGAATTTGCGTAACGCCTCCAAAAGCTCTCAAAAACTGGTGTCGAGCGCAGAAAGCTTTATTTTTTCCCGGGCGCCAGTTAAACCCTTTCACGTTTCCCAGTGCAAGTCTTTCTAGGACGAGTTGGAGGAGTTGCAAAATGAAATAGAGCCATCTCTACTGTATTCACTCGAGATTTATTATCCTAGTGCTGCTTGAAGACCTTTTTCTAGAGCTCAGCACTCAAAAACGAACAGAAAATCAGTGAAAAATTCTGCTACTGAGACGTTTTGTGTAGAAGAAAAGCAGAGGTACTCTTGAATGCTCTTTCACCCCAAGAATGATCAAATTCTGTTGAAAAATTAGGTCTGAGAGCAATTCTGAATGGATGAGCTGTCACAAATAATCAATAACCATTTCAGCCGTTGCCGTCACCAAAGGATGAAGCCCTAGCAAGAACTATTGAGAGGACTACGGAGAATCATACTGCAATGTAGTTTGTTCCCTTCGCTTTTTCAGAGATGAAAATACCTGTTTTTTCTATTCAGGGTAATTTACAACTTCAAAATCGCTGGAAGCTCTGGAAACGATTATGTGAATGCGATGGGAATTATGCCAAGTATTGGCTTGCCCGACGGGTTCACACCAATCATAGCCCCTTTGGTTACCTATATGATAAAAAGTAAGGTGAGAATTTTTGCTATCAAAGGACAACTATGGAAAACAGAAAACGGGTGAAGTCGGAATTGAATTCGACTGCTTCAGATATCTAAGCGGGTTGCGACCAGCGTCGGTAACTTCTCAGACGAGGACTTCAAACAGTTGTTACGCAAGGATTTGGATGCTTACCGGAATCTCCTCGCCGGCAAGAAATTCTTTTTCGGAGACGAAATCAGCTCGGTCAGTAGTTTTCCATAAACCCGATTTTGAATATCCGTTCGAAATTTACATATCCGTGTAGTACAGAGAGCAGCCCTACCACTACCACCTATTCAAACCTACTTCTACTACTCGAACTTCTTTTGGCGCAACTGCCCAAAAAAAATGTGCTTCCTCGTTTTCTGAGGTGGTGTGGGTCAATAAGTCCGGATTCGATCTGCGAATGTGTCTTAGGAATAGGAGCATGGTCCACGAGAAACCACATCGATGTACGGGAAGGATGACACTTCAAAATGAATATATAATGTAGAATGAAGTACTGAATGAGTAGGTGATATATGTGGTACTGAAGTATGGCAAACTTACAAGGGACTAGCCCAAGGGAGGGACTAGCCCTCAACTGCCACGGTTTCCTGCAGCGGATCACCATGTGGGGCAAAACTGAGCAGCAGAAAACTCATTAAAATTAATCATTCATACCACAAAAGTTCACAATGTATAGAGGAGGAGAGATGTCGGACTTGTACCCATGCCCAGACCCAAGGTGTGATTAAAAAGTGATCGTGCTTGCATCTGAGCGTTCCATTCTTCATGGATGCCCCTCAGCCCTGTACAGACCATCTAGATGGCAAGACCGCAAATATGATTAGTTTCAGGCTGACTGCACGCTATTCTCCCAACTGGCCACGACTATTTACATTCCTGTTGACAATTACGCCAAGAACGTGATCCAAGATGAATACCCAGAGCTCGTCACTTTTTGCGACAACGTTCGGGACAAGGTCTTCGGAAAGGAGTTCACTCAGGATTGAAGAGTGAAAGCGCCTACATTATTTAGATGTGCTTATTTGAAAAGAGAATCATACAAGAGAAAAAGAGAATTAGTTGTAATAATCATGTAATCTCAATCATTCCAATGCAGAAGTCGTTGCTGCTGGTAAGGAGTCATTGATATTTGTACAATTCGCTACTCTCGACTGCCTTGAATAACCTTTCCTTTCGCCTAAATAAAGATTTTACTCGTAAAGTGCTACCGTTCGACATATTATGGTGGTAGAAGACAAGATGGAAACTCCGGTAGACTCTAATTGTCGTGGCGTCGATTTCTTAAAAGGCCACGCCTGGTAGAGCGCACGGGGGTCTCTGTGCGAACAGCGTATCACGTCGGCTATAGTAGACGCGTGCTCTGGCCCAAAAACATCAGTCAGTGTGTGTCTGCGAGTCGTGGTCGTGCCCAGCTGCCACTGCCCCGTCTTGTCGAAGACGAAGACCCAATGCAATCCTACCAACTACGTAGCGATCGACTCGGGCATGAAAGCCCGAAAGCGCCGAGCGGTCTCAAGCCTCGTCACCCCTCGTGGGCTTTGACAGACTGGGTTCGAGCCTATGTAGGTTTATTGGTCATCATCGTGCCTAAATAAGATGTACTTTTTACCATTTCTTCCTTCAATCATTACTGACGTAACCATGAAGCATTAATTGATTATTGTTTTGAAGGCGTAAACGGTTCTTACGCCGTGGAGTGCTACAACCGATTTCATCAATGTAGTTGGAGTGTGCGTAGGTCGGACCGTGTTGTAGGACGTAGCCTGCGTGGGGAGATAGTTGGATGTAGGACCAGCGCACGGACTGCAAGGGACAGGTAACATCCCACGTGAAAAGGGCGAGAGCGAGCACCGCGTAAGACCCCTATCGGACCCTCACGCCGACAGCGACGCCGCTCTTAAGCGCGGCGAACTCCGATACCCACTATGGCGAGGAGGAGGCGGCGTGACACTTATGCCAAGCAGGGAACATGCGGATTTCACTTCTGAATAGAAAAAGAAAATTATGTGTATGAAGCACTTCAGATAATTCAGCACTCATACTTATAGCTTCCCTCGTGTGCCCAACATCAGACGAGATCCTTATGATAAATATTCTGAGATCCTTCATTGGAATCATGGTAGCAGCTAGCACGAAGGGACTAAATCTCTCGAAAAGTTAGCCTGCCACCGAGTTGTGAAAGAATGTCGTAATGTAGGGAATGGGAAGAGAACGAGGGCAAGAATAGATTGGCGAAAATGCAAAGTAATGAACAAGAACTAACTGAACAACAAAAGCAAAGGGGTCAGAATGGAGAAGGAACGGACAAGAAATCTGAGCGAGGAGACGAAATGAAGAGACTAGTGAAAGGGAGAAAAATGGCGAAAAGAGAAGTTCAATTTTAGCCATTGTTTTTTTGATCTTTTTAAAGGGATCTGTTATTGCCTCAGACCGTTCAAATGAACGACTTTTCTCCCTCTTATGGGGACAAAGTGATGATGGTGGAGAACACTCGATAGTATATTGTGGTGAAGCAAAGCAAAAACCCTTTTATCATTAGCAGCACTTTTAGAGCAAATAAAATGTTCCGTTGAGGAAACTGGTGTGTCAAGAAAAGGCTACAGTTGTTCTGTACAGGAATTGGTCAGTGCTTGTGAGTGAAAGATTTCTATTAACCACGTTTACAATGACCAGTCGGTTTTATATTACTTTTCCATTTTGTCTTGCAGGTTGTTTTAACTTATTTTCTTTACACTTATTTTATTTGAATTTCTACCCATATACTTGACTGAGTTTCTCGTTCTAGAGGATCAGGAATAAGGTTCTCGCAATAGAATCTCTCGCGTGTCGGCGGAAGAAGTTGGATCTCATAACTCTGTACAAAATTTTTGATAGGCAAAATATCGGTTGACATGCAAGGTTTATTCACCGTGCGATCNCGATCACTAAAGGGGAAAAATCGAAGCCAGATCGGCTTTTTGCAAGAGGCCTTTTGCTGAGTTCAGTAAATAAACCAAGAAGCGTTCCATGTCTAAGGAGTTGCACCATCTTGAGCAAATTTTATCTACATTTTGTAATTGAAAGCTAAGTCACATTTTTTATTTCATTATGATACCGAGAGGATATCGGTAGTTAGGGAGGTACGCTTCTTGTCTGTTTCTTGGTTGATCTCATTCTGGTGGTACTTTTTAATTTTTTCACTCATCTGAAGTTGTTTCATTGTTTGTTTACTCCGTTGTTATGTGAATTTTTTTCAAATTTCTTTGTGCGTTTCGTGTATGTAATAGATAATAATAATTTTCAGCGGTTAGTGACGAGGCACGTTGGTGACCCTGAAAGGATGGAAGGCCCGGTCGGCGCGGAAACAGAACCAATCCCTGGCCGTATGTGTGTGATAGTGTGGCACTTGCCACTACAAATAGCAAATAAATTGACAGAACAAGAGGCACCACTACTCACCCAAAAACGCAGAAGGGATCCAGGTAGTGGATTCATTGTTTTTGTTGTGTTGGTCGATTTAATCGATCACATCCTCACTAACACAAGACTTACTGACTTATTGCGAGATAAGATACTGTTATATCTGACGTTCTTCGATTCAAAGTAGAGCTTTGGTAATGTCGAGACAGAACCGGTGACCTATGCTCTGGGCAACAAGGTGTTCCTACTTAATATATGAGGAGGCTTCGTGAGCTCTACCACAACTTCACGGCCAGAATCCCGCCATTTTATAACGAAGTCACTGCCAACTTGAAAAGACGGGCTCGGCAAGGAAACCCCATCCCACCCTTGTAACACCATCTTTAACATCATCTTCAGCTAAGCCAGTAAGAATTTCTGACATTTACCAAATCCCAAACAGGATAAAGTTCAGTTGGTCAGTTTGAATGATAAGGAAAGTTCAATTTTTGATCTGTGGATGTTCCCTTCCCTCATGCGGGGTGAACATCTCGATGAGTATATGTATGACCACTACGGCGCATTTGGTCTCACATCCCGAAGACCATACCGTGGTTCATGCTGCCTTCAGCTCTCCCTCGCCGGAACGGCGTCCTTCTGCTGTTGTGCCCCCATTCTGTGCAACTGATAAACGGCTCACCTACCCTTCACCCCCCATGGTTGACAGACTAATTGAATCGTGCCACACAAGGCTGAATTGTCGGCCGACTTCTCGTTGCCTGCGCACTGACTCTGCGGGTGGCAGAGAGCAAGGAAGAAACAAACAAGGTTGTCGCAACCCAAAGTTCCTAATGTTTCGAAGTTAACGGTCAAAACTATTAGGAACAATCGAAACAGGCGAAAGTGGCAGAGGGACCAGAGACGCAAGCGAACTCTTCAGCAGTAAACAAACAACACTGCAACGCGCAGCAACAACGGCTGCATGACGAAACACACGATCGTTAAAACGGCGAGAGGCGGGGTGCCATGGCAAAGATAACAACTGGGGTGCGCTAGTCCACCTGCTCATACGTTGGCCTTTGAGCTCTTGTCGCCTTTCAGTTCAATCATTTGTCAAAATGGTTTGTTGGACTTGTGTTGCTGTTTGGTTGGCTGTCGGCAGTGTTATTGCGTACTTTTTCTTTTCAAAGAAGAACAAGAAACAGGTAACTAGTTCCATTTTCTAATCCTTGATTCTTATTGAGAAGGGTCATCTGAAGGAAGCTCATTACAAATGCCATTTTCTCACCGCTTTCTCACAAAAGTCATGGGAAAACCTCTATCCAACATGGTTTACGCCTGCTCAAATGACTTTTCTCCTGCCAGGTGGTTCTGCCGAAGCTTTCGCAACAGGAGGGATTTTTCCGAAGCGTTCGGGAGTATTCTATGGAATCACTGTGAAGGGGCACTACTCCTTCCATGTGCATAACTTATCCTACACTCACTTTTTTGCTTATTTATGACCATATAATGATCGAACTGTCTACTACTTCTTTGCGAGTTCAAATCCGGACATCTGTTGCTAGAATCCGTCGTAACTTTTGCCAAACAGTTAATATTAAAGTTCTTTTTGAGCAATTCTGTGCATACCCCATTCCAAGGCTTCGAACCGGAAGCAAGAACGGGCGAAGACGGACCTCGATCTGGTCAACCGATTAAGATATTATAAAATCTTCGGGTGTATTTTATACATGGGTATTGTCCTTCCACAGTAAATTTACGGAAGCCTCTGGAACTTTCCAGAAATGAACCAAACTTTTGTGAAAATTTCGGCAGATGCTTCCCTTACATCCTAACACCTTCGCTATCAGACTATAGCGATGTTGAGATCATGGGCAAGAGTTTAGATCATTTCAATAATACAATCTCAACGTACTATTTCCAGGTCGGGATACGTAAACATAATTGGAAACCAGACATTGTCTATCTCTACCAATTCCCCAGAGCAAAGTCAGTGCCAAATCTATCGCCATATTGCTTAAAAGTGGAGACCTTTCTTAAAGCTAACAAAATCCCATACGAGGTGAGTGCAAAACACTTCAAATTATACTGTAATGTTATTGTTATACTGTATTTAATTGTACTGTTACTGTTTACTGAAGGTGTGCCCCCTCTTGATGGGAAGATCAAAGTACGGCCTGTTGCCGTTTATCGAGCTGAACGGTGAACATATCGCCGATTCGCAAATTATTCTTCATCGGCTTAAGACACACTTCAAAGTGAAGGTACGAATTAGTCACACTATGTTTGCCGATCTTTTTCAGTTTTTGTCATTTAACCAGAACCTGAAGGTAAGGGGGGACATCGGGGGCAAGCTAAAGCATGTAGGCCACGGCCACACACAGGGTCCATTGACCGAAGTCCTCTCAAGTCGAACAAGCCCACTATGTCATTAGTAACAAAGAATTTTCTGATTCAAGAACGAGAATGGGGCCATATTCTCATATGGGCTTACCTACATGAGACTTACTCCATCGCCGGGTAGCGCCGTACCGCTACTTCGGAGCACTCCCTAGAACAAACTTCAGTACCAGCTGGTCCTGCAAATCTGTTCATGCTGGGAACTCATTCAAGCCCATGCTTTCTTTTGGGGATTTGGCCATTAGTTGATTTGTCTGGAAGGACGAAAGTACTAATTTGTACAGCTGACCGCCGCAATTCATTGCATAGGCAACCTATGTCTTCAAACGCGCCAATAGGTTATGAATGGTTGTTGAGTGCGAGGCGGCTTCTAGAGTGATACTTTCTCTTATCAGCCTCTGGTGAGATAGGTTACCGACTAGAAATTCGTGTAGGAACGTGAACTACGCATGCCGAGGACTTATCCCATGAATTTCGAGAGACTGGTAAACAAGTCTAATTGCTCCAAAGAGATTAGTTGTTAAATAACTCAAGTACCATTGAGCGTTCAGTGGTTTTTGCCCCTCGACGGCGCTTGATTGGGGGCCCCACTTCGTTCATATCACTTGCTCGGCCTGTGCAACCTTTGTTTCCGAATTCTCAGAACCGTGCCAAAAACTCTGCCAAGTTAAATACGCGGAACATCTGTGAAAGCTCCTGGAAGGTGATAACCAACGCAAAAACTTCATTTTTGCCTGGGGGCACGTGAAAAACACTCTTCGTTTTCATATCAAGCCCTCCCAGGACGAGTTGGAGGGGTCAGAAAATGAGAAGGAGCTGTTTCTGCAGTGTTTTCTCGAGCTTACTTACACTTGTTTTTGGTGTTGCTCAAAAACCTGTTTTCAGGGCTCAGGCTAGGGTTTTAGGGTTCTAAAACCGACCTTAAATTCCTTGAAAAAGCCCTGTAACGCGATGTTTTACGAAATAAAAAGGCGAGAGTAACTTGAATGCTTTGTAATTCCAAAAGTGACCGGATTTTGTTAAAATATTCAGAATCGAGGGCGATTCTCAATGACCATTCTCACAAATAACCGATGATCATTTCAGCCATTGCCATCACCAAAAGATGAAGCCTTAGCACGAACTATCGAGAGAACAACTGAAAATCATACCGCAATGTGAGTTGTTCTGTGCACTTTTTCAAGAGTTGAAACACATCCTTCTCTGTTCAGGGTAATTTTCAAGTTCAAAATCGTTGAAAGCTCTGGAAACGACTATGTAATGGGAATGATCCCAAGTCTTGGTTTGCCTCAAGCGTTTACACCAATCCTAGCCCCTTTATTTTCTTGTATGATAAAACGTGCGGTGAGCAATTTAAACTTCTAGGACTAACTAGAGCTCGGAAAAAGCTAGTTTTGAAATTGAATTGACTGATTTAGGTATCTAAGCGGGTTGCTACCAGCATCGGTAACTTCTCCGACGAAGACTTCAAACAGTTGTTACGCAAGGATTTGGACACTTATCGGGATCTCCTCGCCGGCAAGAAATTCTTTTTCGGTGACGAAATTACCTCGGTCAGTAGTTTTGCAGATTCACTGTTTTGAATATCCGTTTGATATTTATCCGTGTAGTAAAGGGAGCAGCCCTACCCCTACCACCTATACAAACCTACTTTCACAACCCGATTCTGTTTTGGTGCAACTGCCAAAAAGGGAATGTGCCTTCCCGTTTTAGGCCTGGTTTCGATCTTGTGAATATGTCCTAGGAATACGAGCATGATCCATGGAAGAAACCACATTGATGTGCAGCAAGGGTGACACTTCAAAATGAATGAATAGTGAAGAATGAAATAGAGAATGTAGATGATACAGGTAATACTGAAGAAGTTCAAAGTTGCAAAGTAGAGGGAATAGTCCGCCACTGTCTTGGTTTCCGGTCTCCGATCATCGTGTGGGGCCAGACTGAGCGGGAGAAAACCGAATCTGATGCAATCGTTCATATCTCAAAAGTTTGCAATGTATAGAGGGATATGGACCTGTATGGAGTCATACTCAGACCTGTGTTTGGTGTGGCTTAAAACCGCTTGTATTGCACCTGAGCATTCCGTTCTGCATTGAGGCTCTACAACGTCTGACATAACCACAAATATGATTGGTTTCAGGCTGACTGCACGCTATTCTCGCAACTAGCCACGACTATTTACATTCCTGTTGACAGTTATGCCAAAAATGTGATCCAAGATGAATACCCAGAACTCGTCACTTTTTGCGACAACGTTCGGGACAAGGTCTTTGGAGAGGAGTTTACACAGAAGTGAAACGCTCTCCATTCATTGTTCGGGCGTGCTCCTTCTGAAACGTTATCGCAGAAGAAGACGAGTTGTAACAATCCATGTAATCTCAGTTATTCCGTTGTAGAAATCTTACTGCTGGTGAGGATTCTTTAATACTTGTACACTTCGATACTCTCAACTGCTTCCAATAAACTTTCCTTCCGCCTTAAATGAAGGTTTTACTCGTAAAGTGCAC